CACAAAAATGTGGCATGCGAGAAATCAGAGAGTTAATAAACTCGAAAATAATAAGATTGTCTGTTAGTGATAAGGGGAGAGTTCGTAGTTATTCCCCGCCAGCTGGATGTTAAGATAACTGAGGAACATCGTGTTGTTGCCCTTTGTCGCCCATCGTCTGAACAGGAATACAGAAGCCAAGAGCGAAAACTGAACAATTAGCGGGTCAAAGTGGCAAAGGCGGCCGGCTGAAGATCGTCGGTTATTTCGCACTTTAAAGTCGATAGACCAACATGCCTCGTCTTAAACCTACCTATTAAAACACGTATGTTGGTATCACCTGATGATCTTGCGACAAGTAAACCGTCATCATTTAAGGTTAGACCCATTATCAGCTGTGTGGACGGCCCAACGGATAGAATTACCTGGTTTTTAAGTCTAATACTCACCTAGTTGCTTAACCACATTCCACCTTACCTCATAAACACCCAAATGTTCCTAGAACGTCTACGTAACGCGTCTAATAATAACGCGTACGTGATGGAGTCCTTCGACGTTACCGCGCTGTACGCCAACGTATCGAATGACTCCGCAATGCAAACCATCTTCGAACTTATTGTTAAACATGAAGGAAGAATAAATATGTATGGCATTCCCATCCAGCATCTGATGGCTCTTTTGAAGGAATGCCTAAACTGCTCGATTTTCAGATAGTCTGGGGAATATTTCGCGCAAATAAGGGGGTTGGCAATGGGACAGCGACTGGCAACAAGCCTTGCCATTGAGTTTATGTCTAAAGTAGAAGACACTGTTCTCGGTCTCCGGCCACTACTGCAGATATGTAGATGATTGTTTTGTCGTCTTCTCTACGCAGGAGGAGATGGATAAATGCTTTGAATTATTGAACGAGCAGTCTGAGTACATTAAGCTCACCGGGGAGAAACCGAAAAAAAACTAGCTTCCGTTTTTAAAAGTTCAAATAAATCTATCGAGTAGCAGTTACCTGACAAAGTGGTATCGAAAGCCAAGTAACAAGAACATTCTTGTTTATTTCCTTTCTTCCCACCCTTCACACACAAAGAGAGCGATTGTGAGAAACATGTTTCGAACAGCCACCTCTGTGTGCACAAGGAGGGAACTAAAGGAAGAATCGCGCAGCTTGGCTCGGCAAAAAGCCATCTCCAATGGCTGCGAAACAGTAACCCCACAAGACAAGTTTAGAAGGAGAGCGACGCTCCAAAACGAAGAGTTTGGCCGAAGCAAAATCCCGCTTACGTTGCCCTTCATTAGTGATGAAATAAGTGTAGCGATAAAGTGATGCTTTAGAAGGGCAGGCGAATCGGTGGCGATAGTTGAAATACCACCGGGTACTCTATGTCGTCAATTAGTTCGTAACCGCCTGTATGACCGTCTGTGTGAAACAACAAATTGCGTAATTTGCCCTTACGGCAGGGACGGTGACTGCATGAGTTCAGGTACGATATACCTGATCTCTTGTAATAATCGCTCAGATGAATATATTGACGAAACGGGCAGACCTTTGTGTATCCGTACAAAAGAACACCTAGATGGCAAACGAAAACTAAGACGAAATACCCCACTAGGCACGCATAGGATACAAAAGCATAGCGGAGGCGATTTTGAAGTAAAAGTCAATATCCTTGCACAGCAGACTAAAACACTAGCGCAAAAACTTCTTGAGGCTTTTTGGATAAATCCCAAAAACCCTAAAATGAATATCAGGGATGAATGCCCAGAGGTCATACGCGAACCTGACCCCGTATGTTCGCATCAATTTTTGATGTAGGATGGTGCAGCCATCAACCATATGCGAAGATTTTTGATGTGGGATGGTGCAGTAGTCAACCACATGCGACTATAATCAGCTGTTCTAAACTTCCTCATTGGAAGTCACGGAAAAAGCGGTGGATGGTGCAGTCGTCAACCACATGCGACTATAATCAGCTGTTCTAAACTTCCTCATTGAAAGTCACGAAAAAGCGGTGGGTCTTTTCGAGAAGTTGTTGATCGTGTAATTACCAAAGAGTCTTTCGTCTTTGTGTAAGTGTTATTGAAGCGTTTGGCCTAGTAAATTGTATATCAGTATACCCTCCCAGAGTCTGAAGAAGGCGATACTGTCGAAACGTCAGCTAGCGTTGTATTGTATTGTTTTTCCATGGAAGTAAATGTATGTTGCTTAACAATCCCGCGATTGCTGAGCAAGAAAATTCATTCATATTCTATTGCCGAGGTTAACAGAAAGTCGATCCTGGGAATTTTGCGGTTACAATTATTGAAGAAAAATTAAGACATTACGATTACCATTGTTGTTGCTTCAGTTTGTGTGCGATGCCTTTTTGTTATCCCTAACTCATTCTACCTGCCAACGGTTTACCGCCTCATTATGGCTGGGAGGTGTTTCTGAGTGTCGGACTGCAATCCACAGCAAGGAGATTCGTCCCCTGGCAGGGTCTTCAAAGCTGAGGAGTCGGGCGTCTCCATCAGGAAGCCCAGTTATGGGCAAACCAATACCAGAATTCACTACCGTCCTGGTATCAAACTAGCCGCATGGTGTCAGATCTCCGTCTGATCCACGGAGATGGAGACTGCTTATGAAAGTGACGACTTGGTGCAGACTATGGAAAAGCTGACCTCGGAACTCTAGTGAACCACAATGACTAATCCAGTAAAATTCCGAAAAATGGAGATTGTACCGGTGCCTGCATAACCAGTGGAGAAATGTCGTTCAAGTAGGTAAAATGAATTCATTAACTCTTTCCTGCTGGCAATTGGTTGCTGACATCACCGATAGAACCACTGCCAAAGTGATTTTTAAACCGACAGTCATTTAACCTCGGTAGTGAAATAATCAGCGTGTTTTTTAACAAAATTGTTTTGCTATTCGCTCTGTGCCAGCTAACGTAATACCGACTGCTACAGGGTTGATTATGCGTGTAGAAACAAACTATTATCAACAGATAGTCTCATCAACATCAACCGCCCTGTATGAAAGGGCACCACCGAGTGTGCATGCCTCACTCAGACGGTGTTCACTGAAGAAGATTCCGTTTCGGTACGACAACAAAGACGCCACCTCGAGATAACGAACAACTGTGGACCATCAACACGGATCATCGGCTCTGATAAAGACGAAGACAACGACAAACCAACGACAACGAAGATCTGTACCAACCTCGCGTCAGCTTAAGAAGATCAGTTTGTAAGATCACATAAATAAATATATCAACTATCTATGCCGAGGTTCATAGAGAGTAGGTCTTTCGAAGTAAGTAGGTCTATCAACCTCGTTTAAGCTCAACAATTTAAAAACATCGCCGATAGAGATAAAGGCATGGTTGACGAAGAATGGCAAATCAAGAGCCTCGATGGCTATGTGGATAAACGTGAGCCCTCGGAAAAGGTAATCGCATGTCGGAAGTCTGAGGTTCCGAGTTTTGCTCATATTTAAGTATCTTTGTAGTTCAATTGAGTATTTTATTGTGAAACCTCAAAATTACCTAGTTAAAATCATCAAACATTCCGTTTTTATGCAACTTCTTTCTAGTTCTTTTTTTGCTTTTTATATGACCCGTCTTCACGTCTACTGTGCGGATCCCATCACTTGCCATATTCGATTCATTTCCTCGCATCCATTATCGACGAAGATTTTCCAACTTTTATGTGTGGTTTCGGCTACTGCTTGAGGATTTTCATTTCATCTTGGATGTTGTAGAATGCTGGCCTAGTCGACTATCCTTGAGTCTTAAGATGGCTGGGCTGGAGCGTTCCCAATTGGATTGCAAAGAGTCAATTTCTCCCGGACAAGTCCGGTACCAATTTCCTGATCCCAGAGTGACGAGAGGCTTGGGTGGACCGATGCGGAATCGAACTAGCACCATGCTCGCGATGACCGACACCAGTACCACCGTGCTATCGGCTTCCTCTTTTTTCTATTACTGATAAAAAACTAAAAAAGAAGGCATGTGTTCTGCTATCAACTATCAAATAGCCACGTTTCATTTCGTGTACTCTTCGCGCTACAATTCGGCTTTTCTATATGCTTTGCTAGTGAATTACGCATGCTTTTCTTCTATGCATTTATCTGTATTTCTTCATTCATTCTTTCATCCCTGAGGAATATTTCGACCTTTTGCGTGTAATGACAAAAGCTATCCCGCTATACAACAACGATGCCGTCGGCATTTGGCAGTCGGTTTCACAACATATAGAAATATCTGTCATATTCTTTATATTTCCTCACTACGTGCGATAGATATAACCTATCAGTGAATGAATGGATTGTATCAAGCCAGTGCCACTAACCTCGAAGACAAGTTTAGTACCAATTTACCGACCATGGAGCGATGGAGGGCTTGATGAGTTTTGCGCACGTGCATCGATCCCTTGTGTATTGCAGGGCGCCTCCGACCACTGCGTCACACACGCCCCACATATTTATAATGATATTTATCGGAAATGGCTGCTTAACTTAATTTTTTGCAAAAGTGTGGTAGAATTGCATGAAGATTATTACGGAAACAACACCTTAGGACAATTCTGTGCAATGATCATAGAAGTCTTCTCCTTTAAATCTATCTGAACCAGACGTCAAGTTCGCTTTCGCATTCCATCCGCGCTTAACTCCCTATCTCTCTCCGCCACCTATGACACACCAATTACCCCTTCAATCGTCACACAATCACTCGTCTAAATGAAGCCTGTTGACATGCAAACTATGCAAAAAAGATCTTAGGCCTATAAGAAAAGTTTGGATATGCAACTGGACTTCACTGTTACAATCGTTTTCGCATTTCAACAAGAAAGGAAAAAATGAACCTCAATGAGAGGTGTTTATAGAACAGAATTACACATTCAAGCTGACAAATTATGGCAACGCACCTGCCGAACAGGTAAAAGAACAACAGATGTTATCATGGAGATTTACAACATCATGGCACGGTAACCACTAGCCTTTCTATTCATACTGTACATTGATAAAGCAAATGTGTTCAGATCGGGTCTTAATAGTCTCCACCGCCAAAATCTCCACCACCGAAATCGCCTCCACCGAAATCACCACCAAAGTCTTCGACACCGTAATCATCACCTCCATAATCTCCTCCACCATAGTCATAGCCGTCATTTCCTGGAATGAAAGTACACTTGGACACTTCAAAACTACTATAAATTCATTTTAATCGCGAAAAAAGTCTTGAATGGCATTTTATTTTCAAAAACCGCTAGTGAAAAAAGAAGTCTGCGCTGTACCTGTGTCTCCATCATAATCATCATGAGAGGCGTCATAATCGCCAGCTGCGTTATTCTAAAAAGGCATGGTACACGGTTGGAAAAAGTTGAAGGGTTGTTCGATTACAAATTTCAGCCTACAAAATTCTACTTTTGCTCAATCTGGTGACAGATTAAACATCCCAGTGAAGAACGTTAAAAACTACTTCTATGGTAAGTGATAAAACGACTGAATAACAAAAAACGTTAGCGACAAACTGCTTCCCCAGCCCTCACATCAACTACCATACATGAATGTCTTCTGGTTCTTCCACTATTGATTGTGTTTGATTAGCATCTGTAGTAGGATTACTGATATTTGGATCTGGAGTATTGTAATAGTTGTTCGTGATATTAGTATCGTTATCCTGAAAGAATAAAAAATCAAAAATAAGATAAAAATAAAGATGTGAGCGCAAAAAATAAAAATGTTCTGGACTAGATCCTTTCCGGTTCAGCGCAGTGCACAATCGTATGACGCTGCATTAATACTTACTTACTTGGATACTTGGATGGCCTATCTTCACTGGTTGTGCGGGCCCCAGTGTAATCTCCACTCTTTGGATATTTGTTAGTTAACCCATTGTGGTTCCTTGAAGTCCCGAGGAGGGCTTGGTCAAAGTCTGACCCAGGTCGTCACCATCCCAGACAGGCGCCGCCCTTGTGGATAAGAGGGAGATTTGCCACCATGCGACTAGTTCGACACCAGAACGATGGTAGATCCTCGTACTATTTACTGTTAACTAGGCTTCCAGATGGAAATGGCGGACTCCCTCTCAACTTGCGAGACTCTGCCGGGGGGAAGAATCCCGCTCTGAACATCGCAGCCCGATACCCAAGAGTACCTCTTAGCCACGACAAGGCGGTAAACCGTGGAGGAGGGGGGGAGGGGGGGGGGGGGGGGGGGGGCATTAATAATAGCTCTTAATTTAAAAAAATTTCCGACTAAACCAAACACAACACTGTACTCGAGGGTTTGCTGCTATCAGAAGAATGAAGCCCTTTCAAGCGTATTACTGAATGTGGCAATTCTATATAGATTAATAAGGCTAACAGAAAACCTAGAAAATAAACCCACCCATAACAAAGGAAATTGTTCCCCAAGTTTCCAACAATTTTGTTACAAGCTTTTTATAGGCTGCTGGAAAGCTCGCAAGCTTTGCATCAATGGAATGATACAGCGAAATTACAAAGCATTAAATAATCTGGTAAAACAAGCAAATGGAAATTTATCTCTACTCGTTGTCACCGTTGGCAGGTTTCGCCTAATAGTAAAATTACTATCCGTTCTTAAATCACTTTGATTGGTTTGCAAGTTATAATATTCTCACGCATGTTTTGCAACGTCTGTTTGATGATTACATAAGTAAAATTAGTAAACAAATGAAAACAATAACAGCAAATAATGAGATCACGGAAGTACCGAGTAAGAACTGTAACCTCCACCCATGCCGAAACCACCACCGTAGCTGGGCATCAGCATTGAATGACCTCCCCACATTGATCCCATACCGTAACTCATCAGCGATCCCAACAGCATTCCACTTCCAAACCCAAGTGCTGCACCACCTAGTCCCGCACCTAAACCACTTCCGCCTCCATAACTACTGCCACCTAAATGAGGCAAAGATGTAGAAGAGAATATTAAGCACCGCACTGTTTTCGAATTTTATACTAAACTTTCTGTTATACATTTAAAACTAACCACGGTCAATAACTACAGTCGTCGGTCCGCCACCATATCCACCACCTCTGCCATATCCGCCACCACCACCGCCACCGCAGCCATATCCTCCAGCACCACCTGCTTGGTTGTAGTAAGATGGAGGAGGTGGTGCTGTGCCTCCATAAGCAGGTGGTACGGGTGGAGATGGATAGCTACCCTGTACTGGTGGGGGAGCATCGGGATACTTTGCTGGAGGAACTGAAGGCATATTTTTAAAAAAAATTAAAATTAAAAAAAACCGCCAAGTGCTACGTACCTCAAAAATCATAAAATTCCATTAACTCAGGTATCACTTCTTCAATACCACTACGCTTAAATTTGTAAAAAAAAATTTGTGGTGTCACTAAGTTCCTCACCATAACCACTGCTGGGTTGAACACTTCCAGGCTGAGGTGGAGTTACCGGTTGTTGTTGCTGCGGCGGTGGATCTGGTTTCGGTAAAGTTTTCGTGATTTCGGCGAACCATGCCCTAAAAAACTGGTAGGTTCGTGAGTGAAAATACCCATACAAACAACTGATAGAACTGTTTGCAACTTCACATAAAAACTCGAATACAGTAGTAAAGAAAAGTTGACTAAATCAGGAAAATCAATAAACCTTCTTAAGGCCTACAGATATGACTTATGAGTTCAACAATAATTGCAGGAGATTTTAAAACATAAGTCTTATTCAAAGAAATTAAGTAAAAACTGTGACAATAGGAGACTCTTTACCTACACCGAAATGATACTCGCAGACGTTACCATGATAGAAACAGGCCATCACCGCAGATGAAGATTACACAGAACGAAACGAAGGGACAATGTGTCAAGACCCCACGACTCGTGAATACAAGATATCCAGATGTTCAATCCAGTACCAGACTAGGTAAATCTATACTCTTACGACTTAGTAACGATGTAGAATGCTTCCAGTTCTACCATATACCAAGTAGATATCTTCTGTAGTACAAGTGATTTTCATCTAACTGCAAATACTCAAATCGCCTTTCTGTCTACAGCACCTCTTCGATTCACTGGTTACAACGTCATGCATGAAGCTGGTCAAGAGTTCGTGTATTTATTCGACTACAGAGTGAGGATCCGTACTGAATGCAGTTGAAACATCGTTTCTCTTGGAATCCCGTGATAGATATGATTGAGTGTTCCCAGGCATTCACTACATATACTATCCCGCCCACATGGATCGAAATTAGGTTGTTTTATGACCGAAATTCAGCCAATACGGCATCGATTATGCAAATGTCTCCATATTGACGACAGTGTAAGAGGTTGAATATGAAATTTTTAAAATTTCAAAACTCTAAAATGATATTTTCACCTCTCGGCGTTAATCAATCCTTGAGGGATGCGTCATGCATTCGACTTTGTTAAGTATCGTTGGGGGTGGTTGAATGCATATGTGGCCTTTACATTTACCCGTCGTGGATTACCGATTTATCGAACCAAAGCTGCTATTCTCCCAGACAAGTCTGGTACCAATTCGCCGACCTCGGAGGGATGAAGCGCTTTGTGAGCCACGGGCGCGAGGATCGATCCGTGTGTGTGTCGCAGGGCGCCTCCGACCACTGCGCCACACACGCCCTAGGAATTATTCATACTTTTTTTGATAATGAATTTATTCCATTGGGCATAAGAAACGAATAGAATACCAAATTTGAAAAGATCTCCACTTGCTAGATAGACTAGACTACATCCCTTCTCGCACTTAATGACCGTAACCATCGAAATTGTCGTTTGTCTCCATTTAAATCCTTTCATTTTCACAAAATGAGAAAAAAACAAACGAATTACAATGTTGTTATTTTGTTACCCATTACGGTATGTGGTACCAATCTAACACACAACATTAATCCGAGAACGGTCCTGGTTCGACTCCGTCCCATGCTCTCCAAGCCTCCCGCCTCTCTGGGGCTCTGCCATCCAAGTGGAAATGGTCTAGCACGGCCATCGCAAGGTCTAGGAAGAATCGACTCGAGCAGCATCCAACAACATTCATGACAAAAGAAAAGTCTCCAAACAGCAGCCGAAGCCACGTGAAAAAAGTTCGATGAGCTTCGTCAACGATGGATACGAGTGGACGAATCGAATACAAAAAGCGTTGAGATCTGCATATTAGAAGATGGTTCATTTTAAAAAAGGATAAAAAAGACACCTGGCGAGACATGTTCATAAAAGAAGGATCTGTTCCTTATTTTTTGAGCAAATTTTACAAATCTTGATAATGAAAGTACTCATATGTTATTTGTTGAGTAAAAAAACGAACGAAGTATTCCTCGCTGTACTGTCAATAAAGATAACAACGGTTTATAACTACGATAGTCATAACTGATAATACAACACCCTCTCGTCAACAATTTTCGTAAATGATGCTGAGATATTTGCAGAACTCCCGACCGCAGGTGTCTGTGTTAGGGAACGCGCTAGTACCCTTTCCGGGGCTAACGCGTTCACCACCACACCATGCGGGTCCTTCGTTTCGCCTGCCTGTCAGCTAGTTCTATCGATCAGTAAGTCCTCCTAAGTTATGCAAATAAACACGAACACCATATAAATACTGCAAAACGCAGAAATAACTTTAAAAGCGCAATTGAAAAGGACATTTGAAAACCCGAACGCATTAGTAAAATAATTCCCATACTTCGTCAAAGCTCTAGCGAAAAACAAGAAGTTAATGAATGGTGACGGCATAGCTAAAATCGCCAACGAACATACTTTTGAAGGAAACAAATGACATCGCTTTCATTCTAATAAAGTTGGCTTGTTAATTACCTTTTACGCTGTGATTGAATGTATACGGTAACATCAGAATGGGATGCCGATTGGCTATATTTAATCTGTAAAGCAAAAAACAAAATACTGATAACACATACTCGATATCTGAGTCAGACGAGAAGAGAATCCAATGCACGGTCTCCGCTCTAGGATCCATTCCAATACCGACTAGATGATGTACAGAATAGCCATCAGGCACTGATGGACGTTTTACTGAAAACCGCTGATGCAACCAATACCAAGATAAAATTCTTTTTGTAGAATTATTCACAATAGTCATGGATACGGTAGAACAAAATAAAGTGTAAAAATGATAAAGTGGACAAAATATTGATATCTCCTCAAAAACTACTACGAGTTCTATTATGTGCAGATATTTTATTTTGCAAATATTGTAAAAATATTACATTTTACTAGTTCTCAGAGAAACGACGGCAATGAACTTGCTTTACGGAGCTCTACTAGGTAGCGAGCAATTTCTATAAAAAGGATAAAAACGACAAAGCTCTCGGTATTGATCAATCCCTGAGGGATGCGCCATGCATTCAACTTCATTAAGTATCGCTGGAGGTGACTGAATGCATATCTGGCCTTTACAAGGACTCGCGGTGGCCTACCGATTTATCGAACCGGAGCTGCTATCCTCCCAGACAAGTCTGGTACCGATTCGCCGACTTCGGATGGATAGAAGGCTTACTGAGCCTTGGGCGCGACGAACCATCCCATGTGTATTGCAGGGCGCCTCCGACCACTGCGCCACACATGAGCAATTTCTATAGATAAATAATACGACTCAATGAAACTGTTCAAAATTGAATGAAAGGTTGAAACTCAAAAACACTTTTGTAGTTGTTCTACCTGGCATTCTGTCCGTTATTAACCCCACACAAATATAAGGAACAACATCCTTAAGTAGTACCGAACCCTTTGGCTTACGATCACCCTGAAAAGTGCATTTTTAACATTCGTTACTCGAATTAACTCTCCACTTCAGATTTTATCAATTGAAAACTCAAATTTAGTCAACTCCTACCAAAAGCTTACCGCCTCATCGTGGTTGGGAGGTGTTCTCGGGTGTAGGGCTGCGATGTACAGCGGTGGGATTTATCGTCCTCAGGGTCTCCCAAACCGAGAAGGAGTCCGGCGTTTTCCCCAGGAAGCCTAGCTAACAGTAAACCAATACCAGGATCCACAACCATTCTGGTATTAAAGGCGCATGGTGTCAAATCTCCCTCTGATCCACAAAGGCGGCGACTGCCTGTGGTGTGACGACCTGGGGCAGACTTTGGCCAAGCTGACCTCGGGATTCCAGGGAACCACAATGGCTTAACCAGCAAATCTCCGAAAAATGGAAATTATGCTGGGACCCGCACAACCAGTGAGGGCGAGCCATTCAATTATCAAGTATGTACCAAGTAATTTAGTCAATTACGTTCACAACGACTGTCAATTATAGTCAGATAATTTTTTAATAGGGTGTTAACCTCTTTGGTTGTGAAAAACAGGTGTCGTGACTCGAAAGAGATAGGAGAGGAGTCCATTCGATTTCCGTATTTGTCTAGCCCCTTGTGGCGCAGTTGCTATTTCTGGACCCAGAATAAGTGGTGGACGAGAGGATACACACATTATGTGGGACAGGGTTTTCCTGTCGAACTCCTGTAACCGTCTGCGAGCCAACATTTGAACCGTTGTTGCACGCAGCCGTTACCAAGAGTTGCTTTGTTCTACACTTTCATGTCTGCCGCAAGAAGACTAAGCTGCTCTGTGTTGTAAGCACCTGATTCGGGCACAGAAATTCGAGTTCACACCCTGACATTCCCGAAAGAAGAGCTTCATAAGATTCGTCAGTGGGAATCAAGTTTCGATTAAGCTGGCGGGTCTAGCTTGAGAACTGCTTAAGAGTAAAAAGGCGTGGTGCACATTATTCTTGTAGCTGATACAGCTTTCCTCTCCAGTATGACCTCAGAAAGTCTCATTTGTAAAAAAAGAAATGAAGGACGGCAGATGTAATTATCCGCATAACTATCAATCAGGGTGTGGAGTTGAGGTGCGGGCTCTTCGATTTTTCTGTCTTCAACGACTAATCTGGTACCGGTTTATCGACCACAGATGTGTGAAATGCCTGTTGAGTTCGTGTCCTGAAATCAAACTAACAACTAAGCGTTTATTGCAGGGCGCTTTCTACCACTGTGTTATAAGCGACCTGCAGAAGCATTAGAAGCAGAAAGCAAATGCACTGTGTTCGCTATTGCAAAAAGAAGTGCGTAATCGCTGTTGCTTTTCCTTTACATTACAATCAGCCATATTGCGATGTGCCGCATAGTCTTACGCCTAATCGGATTGATATTTCGAATACAAGGAAAATTAGTGAAACTGACAACCTAGAGCTGCCAAATCCGGAAACATCTGATGAAATCCTCACTATATCTGAAACTCCTTTACAAAATTTGTAGGATTCGAAAAAGAACGTTTTACAAATATCCAACTAAAGTCTGATAAGGGGAAGATTTCCTTTCCCTACACATTCAGCGCCTTGCAACGGTTTACCGCCTCACAATTGCTAGGTGTTCCTGGGTGTTGGACTGCGATGTACAGCAGGGATTCACCCCCTGGCAAGGTCTCCTAAGCCGAGGAGTCCGGCTGACCAGACTGACCTCAGGATTCCAGGAAGCCACAATGGCTTATTCAGCAAATCTCCGAAAAATGGAGATTATGCTGGGGCCCACACAACCAGTGAGGACGGACGGATGAGGTCTCAAGTAAGTACATATTCAGGGAACTGCGCGTGATTTCGAAAATGCCTTATATTTCGAAGAAACTTCTGCAGAAACATGACTTCTACCTACTTTTTCATCGTACCAACATAATTTCGAATCGCTAAACAACACTGCATGATACGTTTTCCATTTGCTGCTTAGAAATCCGCTTTTGTACTTCAAGATATCACCTTCTTTTACTCGACGCGCGTCCATATCTAAACAACCGTAGTAAATTACAATGCATCATAAATTAGTTAAGAATACAAAAAATATCACGGTGTAAGAAAAATGTGGTACAAAGCTGAAAACATGGATATATCAAAAATATATCATTCATTCGTTCATCCATTCATTCGTCCATTCATTCACTGTCATTCAAAAACATTCACTGAAGGCTAAAGCCACTAATGTGAGAACTTTAGTATGGTCCTATCGATTTAATTTAAGAATAATATTAAAGCTCAGCGAAAAAAAATATGCCACAATCTACTAAAAAAGTAATCATATACGATAAAATAGCGCAATAAAACATCATGAAGCTGCGAGTGGACTAAAAAACCTTTCTAGTAGTTCAGCTGGACAGCCGCTCGTCATGATAGAATGCTCTGTCAGCGGAAGACTAATGGTGGAGACCTTTCATTTTCGGAAGAATAAGCTTCATTTAACTCAATTTCAATGGAATCATTCCTATTCACTGTTTAATAAAGGGATAAAGGGATAAGAGATGAAGCCTTCGCCGTTGATCAATCTAATGGGAATGTGCTATGTAACCGATTCTACTAAAATGATTACATGGACCATTGACCTAAACGATGATTTCCACAGCATATACAGTGACTTTCTGGCGCTGTAGCAAATCAGTATATCCAACCTCTCCGACAAGTCTACCAATCTGACGACACAACAGAGGTGGGTTGCCTCGTTAGTTTGGAATCAAAGGAACGAGGGATCTAAGCAACCACCGTATGTATACGGTACGACACCTGTACTATTGCTCTGTGTAACATGAACCATCATTGTTGCCGAGATCTACGACTTCGTGTCCTTAATCTGACCTTTGTTTCGCTTATTTCACAATTACCAATGCATAAAATAGAGGAAAACACATACCAATGTCTGTGAGTGCCGATTTACTCGCACAGAGCATCGCAGCTTACCGTCGAAATAGGTAACCTACGATAGAACGGTACACAGTAACAAAGCTTGCTTTCAGAAATAAATGTAGACCGTGTCCATGACGGAATTGACCAGTGTTTGTACCTGCTAGGAAATATTACCCGTTGCCGTGACAACGTAGGTAACAAGCGATACATCGCCAATCAATTTTTCACTTACAACCATGCGTAAAACAGTACGACAATCACAGATCCAACTGCCACTACAAGCAAGCCGAAATCAAGGTCGCTGAACTTGTAGCAGAATCGTTCGGTAAGGAAAACAACTTGCAAATTGTTAATTAGCCAACCTCAAGAACTAACAAAAAAGCAAATTGCATACTCACTCCTTCGCTTCAACACTGATCTCGAGCAGATGTATTTGATCGTTGTTCTAGCTTACTCTCTACTCGTAGCCGCACGACTTGCAGGTGTATTGGCGACGTAGCCTTTGATTGTGTTAGTACTTCATTCCATGGGCCACCTTTACCCGAGCAGAAGCTATCCGCATGGCGTTTCGAGATAACTTTTCTGAAGGCTGTCCATGATAGCCCATAATACGTACTTACTTAATACTTGAGCGGCCCGTCCTCACTGGTTGTGCGGGCTTAAACACCACTTTTCGGAGATTTGCTGGTTAAGCCGTTGTGGTTCCCTAGAATCCCACCACCACGAGCAGTCGCAGCTCTTGTGGATCAGAGGGAGGTTTGCCACCACGCGACTTTGATACCAGAACGATGGTATATCCTAGTAATGGTTTACTCTTAGCTAAGTTTACGCCGGACTCCTTCTCAGCTTAGGAGACCCTGCCGCGGGACGAATTCCTCGCTGTACATCGCAGTCTGACACCCAAGAACACCTCCCAGCCACGATGAAGCGGTGAACCGTTGGGAGAATAGCTCATCATATGCAATAACACCTACTCTTCCGTGTGCTTACGTCGCGAAGGCTATTTTCCACAATTCAATGCTACTCGTATTATCGCTCATCACACCTTTTCTTTCAAAACGACGTCAATCCTGCTGATCCTCGAGCGACATTAATGGTTACCAGTACATTATCCACTCATTCGTATGAATTCTTATACTCGCATCAACACATGGCATGTATATATGAAGCAGATAACGCTCAAACAAAATGTATAGATCAATCTAGCGTAGTAAAGACAGGAAGATCATTTTCTCTAACTCCCTGTACTTTTCAAGAGGTAGTCGTTTTTCGTCCCAATATAATCACATATCTTCCGCCAACCGAAGATAGCCGCAGTCTCGTGACTAGCATGTGCCCTTAACAGAAGCGAAACCATGACGCTTTGAACATCTTTCAGGAATTGCAAGAGTGCAAAATCGTGGTAGGTTCTCATCAGTTCGTCTGTAGAGCTCGGATTCTACCTGCACTTTTGTTGTCGATGGAAATGACAGGAATTCTCTGAAATATAAATCTCTTCAGTTTTCTAGACCAAGAGCCGTAATGCTCATAATACTCCGTTCTTCTATACTCCTTGTCTTCACTGGATCACATAGATTCTGCTTCTACCTCAGCGAGCTTATCGTCGCTTCCCAGGTTCTTCATCAGATAGGACTTTCCGCATTATTCGTCGAGCTTTAACTAATCCTTCGTTTCGATGAGACCTGTCTTCTCATCAGTACGAAATACATGGCTGTTATTCATGTCAAAAGTTCTGATGAACAGTAATGAACCTAAAATTACACCACATTGAACGTTTACTGCAGTATCAAACCTCGTGGTCCTTCAACAAGACGTGAAAATTCCTACAAATCAGGTGGACCACCACGACATCTACGGGATAACAGGGAATTCCACAATTCTCGTAAATATCGCTTTTCGTTGTTTCTCGTATTCTCTTTTTCCACACAAAAAGTCACGTTGACGTATTCATTTCCGTACGGAACTCCTTAGCAGCTAAATAGAGGACATACGTGGATTCATAGAGATGGAAGCTTTTATTAAGGCTACTTGTAACCATCAATTTTAGAAACAAGTCAATTATCGATTATGAAAATAAAGGAGGATGATAGAAGTAAGTAATGACAAGAATTTCGAAACAAAAAGGATTATCAATCACAACACACAATATGGTTCTTCCAATGTGCCCACTCAATTCTTTCAAAAATGTATCAGATAGTGTTGACGCTCAGTAAAAAATTGAGAAGTAATCCTTTTCTAAAATAATGCATAACACTTTATAAAGGATAGATTGAAAGTCATTTCCAAACTAGTTTAACACTTAGTTCCGATGTGAGCCGATTTTCACTCACTTGGTGAGAAGGTAACGGCCGCCTCCAACTTTGTACCAATACATCTCAGCTCAAAGAAAAGTTCATTAATTGCAAAAAAGTGTATGCCATGTGTTCGACTTCATAAAGCATCTTCTTAAGCTGACGCGAGGTTGGTACAGATTTTCGTTGTCGTTGTTTCGAAACCGTCTCTACGATCGTTTCTGCAGCTCAGAAAACTGTATGATCTGTCCTAACGGGGAAGACAGGGATTGCATGAGTTTAGGTATAATATACTTGATCTCATGTAATGCATGCGGCGAGGAATATATCGGGGAAACGGGTAGACCACTTTGTGTCCGCATAAAAGAACATCTAGATAGGAAAGCTAAAATCCGTTTAAACACCCCTCTAGGTACGCATAGGGCACAAAAGCATAACGGCGATGATTTTGAAGTGAATGTGCGGATCCTAGCGCAGGAATCAAAAACATCAACGCGCAAAACTCTTGAAGCGTTTTGGATAAATTTCAAAAATCCAAAGATGAACCGGAAGGACGAATGCCTCACTATCACGCGTGACCTGGCGCCCTATTTCAAAATGATATTTTGACCCCGGGGCGTGTCTTGCTGGCGACTCCACGTGAACTACGTGTGGGCCAGTCCCGCACGTAACATCACGGTGAGTGGCCTTTCTGTTCAATATGGCGTCTATTTGAAAGTTTGAAAGTTTGATCTTCATTAAAACTTTAGCCTTTCTTTTCCACCGAATAATAAAAATATTCTAATATAAAATACGTCCAGGCTCTGAGGAAGGCGAAGTCGCCGAAACGTCAGCCATCGATCAATAACATCAAAAACAACGACAACGACAACGGAGATCTGTAACAACCTCGCGTCAGCTTAAGAAGATCAGTTTATAAGATCACATAAATAAATATACCAACTATCTATGCCGAGGTTTATAGAAAGTCGGTCTTTCGAGTCCATAAAGCATCGTTTGGAGGTGATCAAATGCATCTGGCCTTTACAATGACTCGCGGTAGGCCTATCGATGTGTCGAGCCAGTGCCGCTCCCAGACAAGTCTGGTACCAATTTGCCGAACCCGGAGGGATGGAAGGCTTGGTGGGCCATGGGTGCGGGGATCGATTCCACGTGTGAGTTGCAGGGCGCCTCCAACCACTGTGCCACACGCGCCCGTAAAGAAAGAAGTATGTTAGAACCTAAAAATCCTTCTCTATATGATAAAGACCTTTTCATTTTGCAATGACGAAATTCTAACTTATGTGTAACCCACCAAACGTGTTTTGTGCCCTTTCTCTCGTCGATGTTTTTAATTCCAAACAACTTTAACACCTACGCGACGACGCCTAATCGGACTTCTCTGCAGCAATGGAAGATGACTAATTTAATGCTTTTATAGACCTACTGGTTTTCCGGAAACAGATGATAATCCTTCGACAATCAGAAGACTGGACGGGTTGAAAACGTCATGGAATTGTTGAAGGGAGTTTTCTTTGTCGGTCTAGAGGTATGCACGGTATATAGATTACCGCCTATTGTATGTTACAATGATCCTTCGCATAAACACATTCCCGTCAGCATTTGAAACTGGTTTGTAGCTTACGTTAAGGACATTTTTGTATTATTTCGCGTCCATCCATTCCATACGATAGATATAACCCATTCTTGCGCCTACGATTGAAATAGCAGTTACCAGTCAATAAATACCTATCAAATTACTGGTTAAGGAACTGGTCCGAAAAAGATTTTTCTGAATAGTTCCAAGCACAGAAAAGAACTTTCTCCAGTCGACATCCGC